TATGAAAAAGACCTGCATGCACAAGACAGCTGCCCATAGTCCAGAGTACAGCATAAGACACAGACCTAACACCTGCACTTCAGTCTTAGTTTTACTCACAACATCTTGACTTTGAATCAGGTGTAAAATACCCATTCTTTTTTCTTTATTAGAAGACAATTCCTGCTTTGTAAATCTGCTCTTTAAGGTTTTGTCATTTCTTTTTCCATCTCTTTTCAACCAAAAGAACACTCTAGTGGCTGGTGAGCAGTTGGAAAGCACTCGTGAACTACGTGGCCGTTCTCCGTACCAGGATATTTCATGTGCCGGGATTCGTGACAGCGGCCTGAAACAGCAGGCTGCCAGTCAGCAAAGTTATTCATTCATACTTTACTTCTGTTGCTGTTTTAAGGAGAGTTTCTTCTCTTGCATCCCTCCTGGTCTTTTCACATGTACAGTAAATGTGTTTCACATTTCAGGAAAGTTGTCTTGGCCAGTGCCCATTATTAGCACTTGTTTCGGAGGTTTAGGATTTTGACAGTATAATGGGATAATCAGTGACAATAAAGACTGTTGTTTCATTTTGCTTTTGGCCTCTTTAAAGTTTACTTTTAAATTTAACAGTGCATAACAAGACTAGCTTTTGGTGTGGGGCTGTCAGTTTTGTTTTTAAGTGTCTTTTGGAAAACAGCCTTAAATTACCCCCCTGGTGGATGAATAATGTATTTGAAATTGAACTGAATTCTCTTCCTATATTTTGCATACATTGCAAGAGCCTTGGCAGACTGGATGCTCACCTCATACCCTAGCATTTGAGAGTGGAGGCTTACTGGCATTTGAAAAAGCCGGACTGAATTTTGTCGTTCAGTGACAAACCACCTACAGCAAAAAGGAAATTGTAATAAGAACCAAGAGATTAGTAGCATGGCACTCTGGACTCATCCCCTTTGATTAATAATGTAAAGATCCTGATCATGCACACTTTTCACTGCCTGATATCTCCTGTTACTAATTCTGGATGGACTGATTCCCAAAGCAAACGTGCTGTGGTCACACAATGAGCATCGCCGTGAGAATACACTCAGCACATATCCACATACACTCATACACTCTGTATACACTCAGCGCATGTCCTGTGGTTTTGAGACAGTACGGCACGAAGTGTCATCCTATTCTTAAACAAATTGTATTTTGCATATGGAGAAAGCTGCACTTCATCACAGAACCAGGACACTTGAAGAATGTCAGGTGAGAAGTTGCGACAGAGATTGATCTGTATGACATCCTACCTGGCACCTACAGTACCAGCGAACAGGCACGCGCTTACAGCAGGTTGAGCTCTGGAGCCTTGAATGATGTGGCTGAGGCTGTGGCTGCGATGTTCCTCACATATACTCATCTGCTAAAAATAGGTGCATCTTCTGGCAATGTTGAAAGAAACCCACTGAGCATCACTATAAATACAAATCTGCTCCCTTCACTGGAAACACTGGAGCACACTGCAGCTGGAGCAGTTCCAAACCCGCCTTGCTGCTCTTTCCCAAAACTTGCTGTTACACAAGTGTATCACTGTTAATACAGTACAAAATATTGCAATTTACCAGTCAATTATTCACTTTCACGGAACACCATGGTACCGTGGTACTTTTAGGTCAGAAAGTCTCCTGTCGAGCTGTGACTTTCTTACAGCACCACCCAGAAGTCTCCAGTCACAGTAATTTACTCTCCTAAAGCCTGCAATAAGGATAGGTGAGTGAAAATTACTTCAGTGGTTTTATATATCATCTTTCTTGATTGAGTCAAAATCAGTGTTTCATAAGGTTAGAAAACATGCCTCTCTCTACGAATGAATTCTGCACATGAGGTTTTGCTGCATACTGTGTCCTGCACTGGCTTGGAAACTTCTGAGTCTGGGACAATACAAAGGTTTGAAAGACTTTGTTTCTGCATTCTACCCAACCATGCAGGAATGGGACTGGGGTTGTGGGAGTCTGAACTGATCAGGCTGAAGCAACTGAACCTTTTCTAGGCTTGAACACAAAAGATCACGTGAGGACGTCATAGAAATATTCAAAATCCTCAAAGCCACTGACAACCAGCAGACTTCTTCACAATGATCACCATTCCTGGCCACCAACTTAAAACATATCAATTAGCTACAACCTACTAAACAGGACCGACGGGCTCCACCAGTACAGGTGGTACCTTATCATCCAGGCTTGACCAGACTGAGCCATCAGCCATCAGATCCTGTGATCAGGATTGCACATGTTGAGCTGCACAGCCGGGCAAGCGACCCACAGCTGGATGGGCCAGCCTCTGTGTTTTTTGCAGCCCCTCTGGGCTGTGGTTCACCGGGCAGCCTCATGCTTGCAGGGCCACCAGTGACAGTCCTCTCTCTGTGAACCCTGTGAGAGGTGCAGGGCAGGTTTCAGCCTGACCAAAGGCGCATGGCACAGCAAGGGGAGCCAGCTTCCTTAATCCCTCCCACGGAGGTATGAGGGCGGTACAAGGTAGTCAGACTGATGGGCAATGAGCACTTTCAAAATGCAATTTTCTGAAAAGAAAAATAAATAGCCATTCACTGCTTTTTAAAAGGAGACAATCTAAGCAAAAATAAAATAATTAGGGCAAATGTGGCACAGATAACACCACTGCGAGTCTATGCACGAGACAGGATGAGAAAAGCAGCAGCCTGGAGTCAATCCGCTATTAAATCCATCTTCCATTCCGCTAATACCACCGCATCAAAAAGAATACATCTCAAGGCCATGACTCACGACATCCATCCTGACTCTTCGTCGTAGGTGGGCCACAAGCGCACAAGAGTGTAATAAAAAAAAAAGATGTGCTGCAGATAATTCCTGCTCTACACACTTCACAGATTTCCACACCTCGCCCACCCTCTGAAACACCTCCAGCTCCCTTGCCATTCGCCAGCCTTCACAACCGGCCTGACTGTCACGGAACACATGGTGCAAGGAATTCATTTTCCTTCAGATGGCGGCTGACTGCAGCTCGTGTTGGACAGCGCCATTCACATTCACAAGGAGGCGCTGTGCAGTCTTGACATGATGTACAACAGATGTACATGCTCTCTGTTTCTGAAGCCGTGGGGATGAAATGTAACAACTAGTACAAAAGGGTAGATTGGGTTAAAAAAAGAAGTGAGAAATTGTCCACAGATCCTTGCTGTGCTGGAAGGATGGAGATTTATGGGCGAAAGCACACCAGGTGTAGGCAGATGTCCTGGAGGCACAAAAACAACTAGGAATAGGAGGCTCACTCCTGCATCCTGTACCTTCATATCTGCGTGTGTTTGTCAAAGCCCAGTAGGAGGTGGAGAATCGTCTAAAAATCTGAGCAAGGAACGAGCATTTAACAGCAAAGGCCAAGAACTTTGTCCAGCCACTGAACGGGTGTCATTTTGTTAAACAGCTGAACCCCAGGGAGACGGCAAGCCCAGGGTCTTACAAGCAGGTGCTCTTTGTGCAGCCAGCCCTTCGCCGCGACAGAGACGGGGAGCTCACGGGTCCCGCAGGTGGTGCTCGCTGGAAGGCGGCCTGTGAATAAGGGCTTCTCAGCTGCAGCTTGGTGACGCCGGACACAGGCGTGGCAGATCGCCGTCTCGCCGCCCGCGGCGCACTCTAATTAAACCGCTGCGAGAACAGCCCCGCCTCGCCCAGGCGCCCGCGCGCCCATTACGCGCCCAGAGCCTGACATGTGCCAGAGACATGTGAGGAGCGGTGAGACTCGCCCCCCCGTCACAGACGCAGAACAGACTGCTGGGCCCCGGCGACGCGGAGAAGACGGCCATCTGTCCGGCGCACGATTCGGCTCGGGAGCTGCAGGAACGCGTCCTCGCAAAACCCGCCTAGTGCCCCCACCTGCCCGAAGGAAAGAAAAGCGGGGCGCTTGCAGCGATGCAGCTCCTGAAAATTTCCCCGGCTTGCTGGCGCAGTGCTCGTCTTGGCAAGGGGCAGCTCTGCAGCTCTGCAGCCTGGGGAGGGAGCAGTCTTCACAAGACAAGGCCTTCGCACCCCACGAGGACTCACAGATGCTCCTAATAATCCACCAGGTAGGGGACTTGTGACACACCGGTTTGACTCATACGACAGTTTTACTGGCCGTTTTATTGCGCAGAAAAAGCCAGGTGTAATCATGCGTCTTAAACACCACGATGTAGCGGGGTCGAGCCGCCCCACAAGGCAGGAAACACGTTCTGTCGCCCAGCTCTGCCGTAAAGAGGAAATGAGGCCAGACCGTGCGCAGATTTTGCTCCTGGATTTGAAAGTTTGCTCCCCAGTGAAACAGAAACGCCATTAATGATTCAAAATCAGAAATAAACAAGCCAGAAAGCAATTACGTGTGACCTAGCATAACGGAAGAACTGCAATTGCAGCCAAAGCTCACGGTTGGCAAGAAAGTCCATAAAATCTTACTTAGGATGGGAATAAAGCCGCTGGAAGAATCCGGCTTCTGCTAACAGGACAAGTGCATTTGAATCCACTGCAGCAAGCTAAACTCCAATCTGACACCTGGTTCCGCCAGACAAAAGGAAAGTCCCTTCACTCTGGAAGAGCAATAATGCAATGATTTGGCTGCTCTGGCATCATAAAAACAACCAAATACCTTCCCGGGCATAAAGAAATGTCCCGCACTGACGAGCTAAACAAATGAAAGCCTTTTAGTCTTGAACAGAGAGTGAGGGGACCTGATTCTAGCACTGACAATCTGCAAAGGCCCTGACAAAGTCAACCCAGCGGACTTCTTCAGAACGAGCAGTCCGACAGCCACCGGGGCACAGAGCTGGAAACTCGATGACAGCAGGAGGCCCTTATTCGCCCACAGGGCTGTGGAACAAGCTGCAGCGTCCCGCCCGAACCCCTGGATTCTTCCAAGGAACAGCTGGATGAGACCCTTGAATCTACACAGGCTTGCTGTTCCCAGGGTCCCCCTTTCGTCCGTGCAGTAGCAGCTCTGGGCTGCCCCCTCGCCCCCCCTGTGTCGATCCCACTTACGTGGTAGAGCGAGGTGTCCGGGTTGAGGGTGGAGAGGGACTCCTGCCTCATCACCTCCATCTGCAGGGCGGGCAGCAGGGCGTAGTGGCTGGGGCTGCCCCCCTTGTCGCCCTTCTTCTTCGACCTCCTGCCCGTGTCCCGCTTGCTGCTGCGCTGGGTCATGTACTCCTCGGGCGGCGCCTTGTCCTCGCTCACGTATCGAAGCAGGGAGTTCTCTGTGCGGGGCAGGACACGCGCTTGTCAGGGCTTAGACACGCTAAACTCTCACGCGCTACTGTCACTGAGCCGGAGCTGGGCCCAGACACACACACACACACACACACACACACACACACACACACACACACACAAGGGGAAGGTCTCCGCAGATCTGCTCCGGGACAACACGTGATTGCAGTGCGATAATGATCGAAACTGCTCCAGGATAACATTTTTGTTTGGTAACAAAAAAAGGATTCATTTTTATTTTCCCATGTAAACAGATCTGGAAGTTGGAAGAATGACCCCCTCTGTTTGTAATAAGACTGGAAGGCAAAGGAACTACAGGGCGAAAAGGGAAGTCAGTGCCTTTCTGATTTGCATATTATTGACACTTGCTCTTATTTTATATGCAAACTGTACACAAGAAACTCGGTCTCCCACTGTCTGAAACTTGCCCGACTCTGCATTCATGTTGCAAGAGGTCTTTAGAAGGGACGCTGGCTTAGAAAGAAAATGCTATTTTTGTCACGGGTAAGATCGAAATACAGAATATTGCGGGCTGGACACATCATGCTCTTCCATCTTTCATGCCCTTCTGTTATTCGTTTGCAAAACGAAGAGCAATAAAATCTGAGTAAACAAACAAAACCCGATATCCAGGCAGCAGTTTAAGAATTATGCTGGCAAAGAACAGGAGACTCGGAGTTCTAAATGTACTGTAAATAACCAGAATAAACACTGTGTCCCTCACAGGAATCATTTCTTACAGACGAAAGCCCTCCCCTGTAACCCTAAGTTTCTGTGCTCACTCTGTCGGCCCCCCTGCACGCAACAGCCCCACCCCCTGCCTCCTCCAGACTTCACAGCAGCCAATAGGATGCTGATCACCCACGGCCCCCTAGCATCTCTGCTGTTAATGTTACTATAGCAACAGAAAGGCTTCAGACCAGCTATCTTCTCTACCATTAAAATAATAAAATGATTATTGTTTCTTCTTCTTATACACGGAGAGGAGAGGGAGGGGAGACCAGGGGTGAACCAGCAAACTGCAGTAACCAGGAATGACCTGTGGGCAGCATTGTGAAACCCAATTTATTAGAAGATAACAAGGTCAGACTGACTGCCCTGATGCACATTCTGAGCATTATTTAAATGCGCAAGACAGCGACCCTCTTCTCTCCCCAGTGGTTTTCGTTTTGGTTTTCAAATGTACAGACGTCAACCCTTCTCCTCTGCACGTATACTTTTTTCCCCCACAAACCTTCAGCTATTTTGGGATTGGGATACGTGTTTAAGACATGCAACGCGTACGACAGTTGGAATGCAATTAGGTGAAGAAGCAGGTCAAATTAAGAAGACGTTTCCACTTTTCAAAGCGTGCCTGTTATCTCATAACCATCAGAATCCTGCCCTGCCACCCCTGCCTCTTTCACTGCCTCGGTGACGACAGGGGTTTCCATCGGTTACCAGCCGATCTCACGCTGCTCTTGAAATTCAGATCACATTTTTTTTTATTAAGATTACTCATCGATCTGAATAGTAATGCCTCAGTGGCACCCAAGAGACAACGGAAGCTATATTGCTCCACTATTCATAACTTTCTGCCTGTGAGGGTGGTGAGTCAATTCAAAAGAATAATAATTATAAATAGGCTGCATCTGAAAAGAAATGATAAATGAATGCAATGGCCTAAGACTGAATTTATGCAGGTATGAATCACACCATGACTATATACCTGCTTCATCTTTCATGGAATATACTTCAATGTGACCCTAGCCCTGCCTGACTACAGCACAACCACACCGCTCACGGGGCTGTGCTCTCCTGTCAGGCTGCATCGAATCTTCACTGCAGAAAACAGCCAGATGCCAGGCCTGCAAGACCCTGCCGATCAGCCCCAGACCAAGCTGCTGTCGCCCAGTAAAGCCGTTAATCTGTGGTCACAGACCAGCACCTCTTCAAACAGGTGGCTAGAAGTGCCGAGTGGAAAACCCAGCTCTCTCCCACCCTCCCGGGCCAAGTTCCATCTAGCCAGGCCGTGCCACAGGTACATGAGACTGGTCTGGAGGGTGTGAGATAATGCCACATTTCTCTTTCAGCCCTCACTCCATTCCAAAGACAAATGACTCGCTCTGTGCCGAGAGGCCCTGAAATACCATCACACATCAGTTCTTTAATGTCACTCCTTCAGGGAATAAAAATAGAACATGTCAGAAAGCCTAATGCAGGAGAGAAGAAAAAAACAACTCCGATATTAAACAATACGCCTGGGAATGTCCGTCTTGCTCATTTCTTTTCAGGCCTGCTTTCTAATTGCTCTGTCATTTCAGAAAGAAAATCACCTCACATCTGTAACGTAGAATCAAGATTAATATGCTGTCAGGACACTTTGTGTTCTATTCAGTTTACTGGGGTTCAGCATCTCAAAAATCTGGAGTGTAATGCAAGGAGACAATGGAGTTTAGCAGATCTAAGGAAAAAAGTGAATGAATTCATAAAGGAATATGTGTGATCTAAGAAAATTTATTCTTGGTTCCCCCAAACAAGATGATATAAAAAAACACTTGTGTTCATGTACAGCGTAGTTGCCACTAACAATCTGCCAGTGATGGGGACATGCTGTCACAGAAAACCAGACACAGATTTCAAACAGGCAGCCGTATTTGAGTTACGTCAGAAAACAAAGGAGACACTCGGAATGATTTCTCCTTTGGAAAAAAAAATCACGCAGATCGAGGTTATACTCTCCAAAGAACGCGCTATAGCTGAGAAGTAATTATTTTATAAGCAGGTGCCTCTGAATGAAAGCTGGAGTTTCTCAGGCTGAAGGGCTGAAGGATGCCCAGTGGACTGAAGATGCCCTGTCCTTTGTAGCAGACTCTCCTTCCATGAGCACATCTGGACAGCTGTGCAGAGAGCCAGAGAGGGTGAAACCAGCCTGCTCCCTGGGCCAAGGCACTGAAATAAAAGGCCTCATCCCAACAACTGTGCGGAGCGAGAGACTGCCTGAGCAAGCCAGGCCGCAGAAGAAGGGACTGCGTGGATTAAAAAAAGAAAACGGTACGAGAAAATAATTCCTGGGTCTCACGCACATGACCAACGCAAAGGAATGGGCTGAGACTGTGGGATGCTTTCTGCCTCCACTGCTCATATTTCATAGCCAGCATTAGTAATGTAGTGCACGCGGGGGTATTTAGATTCTCCACTGGTATGACAGGTCGCCTTTAACCTTGCAACATGGAGTACAAGACCTACACACACCAACCCCCTGCTTTCACCTTTCATAAACCTACGAAGAGCCAAGAATCTTCTCCCTTTTAATCTTTGGGAATCTTTTCCCTGATCAACCCGAAACCTTAACCGGCCTACCTTTAAAGTGTAGCCGATCAGACTTTAAGACCTGTGTACTGAGCCTTTTAGCAGAGCGCAATGACTGAACACGGCCGCAGCCAGATTCCCTCTCTCCCCCTCGTGTCAACGCCTGTGCATCTTCTCTCTCTGACGGGTCTCCAAGCCGCGCGCCCCCAGATTCCATCATCCCAGGCAGATGAGACATACACCCACTCTGCTACAACTGGCTAAAGAGCTCTGACGCTGTTGGCGAGAGGCCGTGACAAGGCTCTGAGCTCGGAGACTCAATCTCGGGAGCATCACAGCTGGGCCAACCTTCCTTTTAATCAGGCATATGCATTTGCTCAGACGCAGCGAAGTTGCTGTTGTTTTTTTGAAGGAGTAGAATATCTAGTGCTTCTATATCTGGTTTATGTGTTCCGGCCACTTGTCTGTTGAGCCCCTTTCTTCGGTAATCACCCTGTGACAGGACATGGGGAAGCTAATCATCCGAAAGCAAAATAAAACCTTGTACAAAAGTCATGTACAAAGTGAATAATCAAGAGTTTTTGACACCCTTCCATCTCTGAATAGAAACATCCATGATGAAAGATAGCGAGTGTGTTATTTTCATGATAGCATTTTGGTTTTGATTTTATTGCATGTTTCTTGCTTTGGTATGTTATTCTACAGTACTTTATTGATTGTGTGCAGCTCTAAGTCACCCTGGTTAAGGGTGTCTAGGAGCTAATAATAATTATAATAATCTTCCTGCATCACCTCCGCCTTATCACAGAACTGCATCTCAGCTCTCATTTCCTTCCGTACCTCGGGTCGGTGTTGCGTGGGGAAGCTTGTGCTTCTGCCACACTGCGGAGGCTGCAGCCCTTCGTATGAGAAACGCCCCAGCTCAGACACTCACCTCGCCTTCCTTCCCTCTTCATCTTTGAGGGGTCTTCATAATCACCGACCCAGTTATACTCCACCGGCATAGAGATCGGCCTCAGCCGGCCTGAAAATGAGAAAACAGGCCTCAATACCACATCTCCCTGGTGCATCGGGGGATCTCTCGCTCTGCCCCATAACAGATAACACTGGAGCTGCCAAGATCCGTGCCCGCTTTAGAAGGATGCCAGTCTCGGAGAAACGTACATTGCTTTTCTTACTGCAGGACACAGTAGGAGACTGTCAGATAATGTATTCTTTATTGCACAACACGTACGTTTTTACACTTTTATATGACAACTATTAAGCTATTTTTGCTGCTATGGCAGCATTAGTTTTCATAAATACGTGCTGGGATTTTAACAATGAGGAAAACAATGTTGCCGTTTTGTGGAGCATTCCCGTTGCGAAAGCCCTGCAAGTGGTTTTCAGGAGCTGCAATTAGAATGTGAGCCCGCAGTGTTAAGCACTGATTAAGGGCTGTCCAAGTCTCAGGAACGCAAACACCCGGTGAGATCTGGTGCAAATAGGAACACTTTGTTCCCATACACAATGTGGACACCAGAGGGCGCTAACATTACTGGTGTCCACTAGACAAAGCCTTAATGGTTAACACATTGAGATGATATAGCGCCATCTGGTGTACACAGCCCCCCTTGGGGATGGGGGGGATGGATCCCATGTGGAAGTGCACCGAAATTCACTCTCAAGCAGTTGTTTGAAGAGGCTGCCTAACTTCATAAGCGCTCAGCAATCGCCATTCACTTTAACTCTAAAGTCTTGCTGACACATAAAAACAAGCAGGGATGTATTTTTTTCCCAGACAACAGAGCACCTAACTCTAGTGCTGGAGCAGTCCTCCACTCAGCAAGCAACCCCCCTGGACAGGCAGGACAGAATCCCCCACTCCCAGTCTTCCCGCATCAGCAAGTGTTAAGGTTAGAAAAGCCTTAATGCTTTTCAGGTCAAACAGAACTGCAATTACTCTTAATTTTTAGGACTTATCAACCTGAGCAAGGTAATTAAGCAGACAAAAAAATCTAGAAACCTTATCAGCAGAATTGCTATGCATGATGGGAATTTGTGAGATCTGACTGCAGAATATTAAATGTATCTTGTAGTGAGGCAATTGAGTCACGGTTTTCTCCTACCCATCCTCAGATTCCCATTGCGTCCATTATCTTGGCCAGAAAAAGCCTTTGCAAGTGACAACCAGGTGTGAAAAATGTTCACAATCCCGATGCAGCATCTGGAGAGGTGTAAGGTGTTTGGGATCTCACCACTTAAATTGAAATAAATGTGAGGCGACAGATAACTGTGCGAACAGAAATACTGAGCAAATGTCAAGGACATTCGTTATAGAGCAACAGCCACTCCGAGAAGGGATAAGAAAGACTCAACCCATGCTCAAGACTCCGAGCAAGGATAACAGAGCTAATGAATTACTGTACGGTGACGCTTACGCGGCGCGTGAATATCAGATCATCTCAAGGTGGTCAGAGGGGCAGTGTGAGACACACGGACCCAATGACCTAGGTGCTACACCCCTAAAGGCGCCGAATCGGGGTGACAAAAGAAAATGTAACCATGCCGCCTTCTCCTCCTTACTGTATCACCTCTACCACTGACAACACAAACACTGCAGCTGCTGCTAAAGCAACGACACCGGGCCGATGAAGCAGAACCACGAAGGCATGCTTCACACAGAAACTCCGTAGGGCCACGACGCTCAGATACGCCATCCGCAGATATGTACAGTAGCAGGGTTGTGAAGAGTGCCATCAACTCTCCCTCCCCCACCACTGCCCACGACACTGCCCTCGGCCCATCTAATTTTACTCAGTGCTCAGAGCGGGGCTGCGGAGGCCGGGCTCCGTCTGCGGAGGAATTGGTTTTCAGCTCACATGGGAGAAAACCCAATCACAGCAGACTGTTACAGTAAGACGTCTGCTATTGTTTTACAGCTCTCTTCCCGGAAAAAAAAAAAACAGAACAAAACAAGCAGTCAGCACTATTCAGACCCGTGGAGGAGTACATAAAGGTTAATTCCACACTGCAGAGCAGAAAGAAGACACAGCTTAACAGAAGAACACAGCGTTTCATCTGTTAAGCCTTCAACGACAAAGATGGGTTACAAAAAAGAGGAGGCCACTGGTCTCATCGCACCCATTTAGTAGTATCTAATGGGCCTCAAGCAGCCATTTCCTGAAGGCAACCAAAGTTGAGGCTGCTCCACAACCCACAAACATGAGTGAGTTCCTCCTGTACTCTTCTTCCATGTACTCCTATTGGCTCTTCCGATGTGAGGTACCTGTATACTGTATTAACAGCTGGAATGCTGCACTTCTTGTTGGTACGTTTCAGCGCGGATTCAGCCTTTACTTATGCAGTTCCCCTGGCTCACTATCTAGAACTGCGCGGAAGCCCTTCAAGCTTAATAAAGTCATTAACGTCATTCTTACATGCTGTACGCAGAAAGAGACATGATCTGAACTGCAGGCCTCGCAGGTCAATACCGAGTTCAAGCCTCAGCTACTGTACGCAGGGATCACTGCACAGGCGCCGCGTCCAGGTCTGTGCAGCACAGTATCAGCACAGAGGACAGCAAAGAGTGAGTAAACTGAGCCCTACTCTCAGAAAAAAAGCACAGATTAAAATCTGCATGTAATAACAATAAGAACACATTATATCTATATAGCCCTCTTCATCACAAAGCATCCTGAAGCACTTTCACAGACGGGGGGGGGTGCTCCTATCCACTGCGGAAAGCAATTTGAAAGCAATTAAGATCGAATGAGACAGTTAATCTCAGAACCCAAATCTATTTTCAGACACAATGTGCTCATTCTCACACCCATTGCTGCGCACTTCATTTCCAGGCATTTCAACGCTGCTCCCTCACCGTCGGTCTGATATACGCGGGGGGCTGATGATCTAACATTCCTCGGGGCTGGGGCAAGGGTGACCCCCCAGTATTAAGCCCTGGATTAAGAAAAACGCACACAAAATTCAACCGCCCACACGCTCGTTCTGGGGTTCGGTCGCAGGCCCCACTGCAGTAGTACCGTGATGGCGGTAGTCTTGCAACTCCGGCATTAGAATTTCAGACCACAGAGGCTCCGGTGAACCAGCCCTCCGGAGGCTGGAACTCCTCTGCTGGCCTCCTCCTGCCCGGCTTCTTCTCTGGGACACCCAGGTCCCCAGCACAGCCCTGTCTCCCACCCTGCACTCCTCACGCCAAAACCAGGCCTGAGGAGAACCTTCCTCACGCACTGATTATGTCGTATCTTAAAAAAAAGCGGGGCGCCTCTGGCTAGAAAGTTGCCGGTTCAAATTCCACGGCCGACAGAGGAATCCTCCTCTGGTGGGCCCCTGAGCAAGGCCCTTCACCCCCACTGCTCCAGGGGCGCCGTATAAATGGCTGACCCTGCGCTCTGACCCCCAGCTTCTCTCCCTGTCTGTGTGCCTCATGGAGAGCAAGCTGGGGTCTGCGAAAAGACGAAATCCTAATGCAAGAAATTGTATATGGCCAATAAAGTGATCTGATCTTATACTGTAGCTAGCCTTCTCATTTGCATTCGCACACGTGTTTCTCCCCTTCATCCTCTGTTCCCCTGGCGCCCATCAGCTCTGTCAGAAAAGGCCTTTGCCAGTGATCTTCGCTAAATGACTGAGGTCTGCTGGAGGGCACACAGCTGCTGCAGCAAAGCCCACAGAGGTGAAGGTGAGAAAACTAAGCATCTGTTTTTCTCAGAGAAGGCCAGGCAAGAGACACCCAGACATCACGAAGCCCTTTTCAGGAAACCGGCCAGTAGGGACTGGTGTATCGAATGTTTAAAGTCTTTACTGGCACGTCAGCTTATAGCCCAGACCGGACATATATAAAGCTCGCTCAGCAGAAAAAGAAAAAGAAAACCCAGAACCCCAGAGAAATGCTTTTGTAGATTCAATTTCCTCAGTCCCCGGCAACGTTCCCTCGAAGCTGTGGGCGTGTAGCATAGGAAATTGAACCATGCACCAAAAAATTAAATACCAAAACAAAAATATGATAATAATAAAATAAACACGGTCGTCAATTGAAAAATGCTAAGTGGACCACATGAGACTGGCTGTGAGAGACCCAGCTGGGCTGTGTGCAATCTTATTGCCCCTCGATAATCGATATCTCTGCTCCATGACTGGGCTCTTTGAATCGCTGGCCCGGTCTTTTGGATCTCTTTGTTTCTATGAGAATGACTATATTCACAAAACTAATTGTAGGTGGGCAATTTTGCATACACTAAATTTAGTGCGCACAAGTTTGAGTCACTGGGGGAAAAAGTTTGCGCAACTTGAAATTTTTGCGCACACAGGCCATTAGAAATGAGAGGGAACACTGGTGCCCGGTGACCCGTTGAGCTGTGTTAGTATTCAGTTCCCTCAACAGGAACAGCAGACTCGCCATGACAACTCTGAAGTACGGAGAGTCAGACATCCGCTACCCCGCTGCAGGCCTGAGCCCCGCACTCAAACGCTGGCTTTCCTGGTCCCCTCAAAGCGCTGCAGAAAACGAGGGATTGTACCATTGTCTCGTAAAGGCCACCTGTTTTCCTCCTTCACTGCGCCTCACAAGAGGAATACGAAAGGCTAGTACATACAGTAGTTACAAAGAAGCATGTGGAGAGTCTGAACAGAATTCAGATTAGAATTCCCATTTCCTCCTAATAAAGAGACCCTTTTCATCTGATTTATACAGCGGCGCTGCCACAGCCGTCTTCAGTTTTGTTTAGTCTTGTCCGGCTGTTGTCCAGATATTTGTTTCTTTTATCTCTTGGCTTGCGGTCTACAGCTCCCCGTCTGCTGGCTCCCCTGAATGGCTGGCAGGTTGTGCTTCCCTCAGATACCGATCTCCGTCTCATCAGGGACCTCAAGTCACACTATTACAATTGACAAAAATTCTGCTGTGGCTCTGATTAACGGACTTCAGAGGATGACAGATAAGACTGCGATTCCGGAGCAGTTAAAGGCTTAATCATTGAAAATGCAGTTTAATTAGGTGTAGACTACCGGCCTCAGGCAGAGGGAAAGCTAATTATTCTCACTGTAAAGCCAGAAGAAGCTCCATTTGTTGAGCTTTTGTCAAGTCACCTGTTCACAATGATTTTGTGTTTGTTTTTATTTCGTGAGGTATCTCCTCATCTTTAGTCTACCAGTATGCCCAGAACAGACAGACTGCACAGCTGTTTCTCCTCTTTCAAGGCAAAGTATCTGCAGGTTGGCCGCCCAACGGAACTGTAGCTCTGTGTTCCTGACAGATTTGAAAGAAAAAAAAACTTAGAGCATTATTAATTTATTCAGGAGGCTTTGGCCAGAAGCCAACTCCATCTCTACATTTTATGCAGCTGGATATTTAACTGAAGGTGCCTGAGTCAAGTACCTTGCTCAACGGTATAACAGCAGTACCCCACCTGGGACTCGAACCCACAACCTTCCAGTTACAAGCACAGAGCCCTGCCCACTCCTCCCCACCGCTGTCTATAACCCTGCATCTAAACCTATGTCCACTGGACAGGAGACACGCTGAAACGTCTGTCTTCTTGTGCTCTTGTTACACATAAGAAGAGAAACGTCTATGCACTGAGCTTTCCTCTCTGCTCATGTGTGAGGGAGTCTTGGGACAGCTCGGATGATTGTCTTTCATTACCAGGTGGGCATCTAGCAGCTGCAAGCTGTTGACTTTATATGAGCCACTCAGCTCAATAAGTTGTGGTATCTCACGAGAAGGGCATCGAATTCTTCCTTCACTAGTGTTTTCATTAGTCTCCCAAATTCCTAATTCACTGCTGCTACTGGTGGGCAGCTGCGGCTCGAGTCAGCCTCCAGGTGGTCAGCTGGGCTGGAGATCGAAAACTGTGTTTCTCCGCCACGGGACCAGGCAAGTAAATGAATCTGAAGACCGCGGGGTCCATCATCGTGCCTCGCCATTTTGCCATTTGCCGACATGAACGGAGCTGGGCGACAGAGAAGGGAAACGTCAAGTCGTCTGTGCAGGAGGAGGAAGACGCGGCCAGGGCAGCCTTACCATACGTGGGCGTGGCGTCGCGGCGGCTGGGGCCCCTGCCCTTGTCGTACTCGTAGCAGTAGAGCACCGCGTCCTCCTCCAGCACGGTGAAGCGCTTCCTGTACTCCTGATCCAGGAAGGAGTTGGGCGACTCCGAGCCCTTGGCCACCGGGATCCCAGCGTGGTGCCGGGTGATGTCGTCGCTGGGCAGGTTTCCCTTGTCATCGCTGAAGCATCAAGCACAGCAACCAGACATTAGCCCCGCGAGCAGACCTGGGCAAGCCGTGCAGTGTAACCCGGCATGACTACAGAGTCATGAATGAGCTCTGAATGTACTGTGTGCAGTGTGAGCTCAGGAATGTACTGTATACAGTATGTACTGCACTGTCTGTGCCTTCTCTTCTAAAAGAGAGAGGCACAGACAGTATGGTACACACAGTACCCCATACAAAGACAGGCATGAGTGTCTAGACAATCCGGTTTCAGAGACTCTGTACCGGGGTGTGTAGGGCTCAGAGGGTGGCGGAGGGATGAAGAGATCCTGGAGGGCGGAGCTGTCCCGCTTGGAGGGCGTGCTGATTGTGCTGGAGGGCGTGGCCACACTGCTGGTGGGACTCTTGGGGATGATGGGCTGGCAGGAGAGACAGAGACAGCGAGTGGGTGAGCGGCACGGTAATTAGTCATACACTAATGTTAGCTCATTCAGACGCCATCATCACGGCCATTAAGGCTCTTGCATCAGTGTAATGGCCTTCACAGGCAGCTGCCAGCTACCTGCTACAGAGAGGAGCTGCATGCTGAAGGGAAGACATAAAGAGAGTTAATTTCCTCAGTGTCCTCAGTTCAGCATTCTGTAGTCAATGATCTTAATCAATCGCTTACACAGCAAACGACGCCGGCCTGCACTTTAATTACAATCGCGCTGATTTGTCTCGACTGGAGGTCGACTGGAGCCCCCTCAGCACACAGCCCCTTCAATAGCACTCCTTCCCCTTGCTTCCACTGCTGCTGCTGGTGTCACGGACGTCCAAAGGGGCTAACCATGGGGAGCAGGAGAGCGGAAAAAGACCCATATGCGTAGCGGCGAGACGGGAAAAAGGCCCGGGCTCATTAGTGCAAAGAGTTCAGGAATGCCGTATAGAAACCTAGGCCCTCAGGGAGCGGACGTGGGGCGCCCTGGTGCTAGGCGGGTCTCAGGACATCCGAACGTCAATGCTGAGCGAGGACAGAGTGCAAGACCAGGAAATATATAGCCCAAGGGAAAGAGAGGGACAGGAAGGACAGCAGACTGGAAACTAGGGACAGGACAGAGAAGGACCGCCCTCTGGCTGCAGAGGGCGTGACAGCTGGTGAAAGTAACACCTCCTTCAGGTACTGCACGGCACCAAGCTGAAAAGGACCCGCAACGGACTGCAACAGGCAAGGCAACGCTTTCACCAGTGTGAAATGTGTTAATCATCAGCAAACCTTTAACGAGATTAATATTTCCTATTCAAACCCACGACTTTGACGCGATCCCTCATATCTGACTCTGTTGACACTCAGAATTGATTCTTAGGACACGTCGATATAATGATCGCTTTGGATAAACTACCGGACAGATCAGTCACTCAACCGGCACTAATCACACAAATCTTTGACATTTAATTAAACACTTTATTTGGATAATATTTCACTCTTCAGCATCAGAGCGGTGATTTGGGTTATCCCTGGCTTCACTGCACAGTACGCATTGCTGACCATCAGGATGAAGGATAATATTAGTTACAATCAGCATTTATTACGGCACCCTCGGGGCCTTCCAAATTCAATTTCTTTCCTTTCCTTGTGCTTTCACCACGTTACGTGATTTTGCAAACAAAACAGAATTAACAGCCAAATGCCCTGAGAACTTCCATGTCAACAGCAGTGTGCAAATTCAAACAAGAGAAACCTCCCAAAACGTAGCAAAAAATAGAAACCTAACCGGACAGAGACATTCTAACAGCTGGGTGTTTAGGTTGTCTTCTTCCAAGCTTCTTTTTCCAAGAGTACCATTATGCTCCCTCTTGTTTTAATGAAGCTGTACCAATTTTAAAAGTGACAAATCTAGCAAGACGCAACGTGTGTGGATAAGAGGGGTTTCTTTTAATGTAACAAAACCCTGGATAATTAGTTGGATTTTAGGAGTTTAGCTATTACAAACTCTATTACAAATTGGAGCATGTTTTCAGCCTGTCTGACAGCTCAGTGTTCTACAATTTCAACATTTATTTTTTTATTATGTGAGGTCCCTTTAAACTGGACTTTAGTTTAACAATGATAGAAAATGTTCTATATTTGGAGGGGCAATGAACATGTTTTGCTGCAATGTTGGGATCTATTCAAGACACAATGAGCGCTAATTGGATTTCAAAGGGAGGTGTGTGACTAAAATAAACAGCACGATCATAGAACAATATGCATACCGTACCACTGAGAAGAGCTACAGGAACTGTCTCCTACAGAGTGCATCCATTTCCAAAACTACAGCCTATGAATTAGAAGCCATAGGAGAGTCCTGGCCTAGCTGGTATTAACCTTATTGAAGCCTTCACACTGTGTCTCATAGCTGAAGTCCCTCACCAACAGAAAACTGTTATTAGCACAATTATTACGTTTAACAAAAGAACTAAGAACCTTAGCTGACCAAGAAGACTAAGGACTCAAACTTGTCTGGAAGACCACAGCACTCTGTATTTCTACAGATGCCACTTACTGTCCACCAGTTATCCAAGCTGCAAAGACTCATCATCTAAACTGCTCTGCATACTGGAAAGCCGGGTTTACTGTTGAATTATGAGTTGGAGGGTCCTCCACTCAGAGAACCTGGATCAGCATCACTCTACATCACTGGCCTAAGAACTGCTAATCAAATTGTTACAGTAAGTGCATAACAATATCCAGGCCTGAAATCTGGAATCCAGGTTTTCTTTGTCTCCTTTAATTATAAACAGCTGTTCACCTGGCAGAAGTGTTAAGCAGATCTAGTTTAGCTTTAATTGGACCAGCGGACCCCTTCTCTACAGCCATAAACTATTGACAATTTAAAAACTCGCTAAGCTGAGAACCCCAGTCCTACATTGTACCTAAGTCACATCATAATACAGAACATATTTATCCTTGAACAGAGAAGACTGCAATGGGACCTGATCCAACTCTCCAAGACTCTGACAAAGTCAACCCTGAAGACCTCTCCAGAATAAACCGTGAAACACCAACTAGGACAGACCCATGCAAACTCCAAACAGGAGATAATTCTTTTTGTAAATGTTGTGGGAGCCTGGGACAAGCTACCCAGCCAGGTTGTTGAAGCTGATACCCTGGCTTCTTTCAAGAAATTGATGGATAAGATCAATTAACAAATAACTAGCAAATAGGCTACAGTACATGGGGCAATTGCTTGTACACATTCTTATGTTCTTTAGCCTGTTTTGGAATGTTTCTGTGTTCTAGATTGTTTTAAAAGGCAATAATAGGCAAAGAAATCTGAAGAAATACATAAGAAGGGGTTTACTGGGCAGACTCTTTCTCTGCACAGTGCCCTGAAATCAGCTTTAAGAGGATGAGCGCAGTGTCTCCTGGGAAAGTCCATGTGCACACTGAACTGAGTGAGTGCATGTGTGAAGTGGGTGTCAGGAACAGCTCTTTCCGGGCCCTATCCGGACAACACGATCCGGAAGGTGGAGAAACAATAGGGAAAAATATCATGCAGGAGTAGGGATGGAGACAGGGGGGCGTGTCCGAGAAGTGCAGGTGTCCAGGGGAAGCGAGTCCGGGGCGAACAATCCAAGCAAAAATCCAAAAGGGAAATCCAATACAGGAGTCCAAGACCAGGGGATCCATCCAAAGTCATTAAAAACCAGAACCGGACGGGACCGGCAGGGCAGGGAATCAGGAACAGGAAACTAAAATCATAACGAAGCCAGACGCGGCAGGACCCCCAGGGCTCTCTCGGGATTCAATGAGACGCCTGCGTCTGGCTTTTAAGGTGGGGCGAGAACTACAACAGGTGCAGGTAATGGGGCAGAACAAGGAAGGGCTGGAGCGCCCTTAAGAGACGGGAGTAGTGATCGTGACAACGGGTTCGACATCTACGATTTGAGATTGCCCACCACAATGAATTCTCTCTGCCAGGAGACACTGATTAGTGTGGGTGGGGGTTTAAAGGGGGGCAATAGAGGGATCTTCTTCACTAGTGCATTAACATCCCCAGCTCTCTGCACCCCTGTCTCTGTTCCCTGTCTTTGAACCATGGCTGTAATTGAACAAGCAAAGCAGGAGGGAATGTATTTACCCTTGAAAAAGGTTTCATTTAACGAAGGGATGAGGCCAAGGCAAGATCAGTGGTTAAGTCAGTACACACTCACTTCTGACTGCCACCACAGATCAATTAGAGGAAGATGGTCCTTTTCTGGCAGATTAATTGCCTGGCTCCCCAGTCAAGTATGCCTTGATAAACTAATGTGTCAGTGTGCTGGAGACAGGCAAAAATCAACAGGATCGGTCTCCTTAGAGACATTTCCTGATTAATCTGACGTCTTCTCCTTCAATGATTTACTGTAAAGGGTATGAGGTCCACCTGAAAATTGATTTTTTGAAAATATGACTAGACTTGCACACTCTCCCTACTTAGGCTGCTGTTATAATAATATCGGTATACAATAGCATTGTTTTCTAAAGATGGTCCTTCATTGACTACCTGAGCTTCCCAGCATAGTTCTGCTATAGTCCACCAAACAACCCGTTTCACACTCCAACTGAAGACAGTGCAGTGAAACTGGTCTCCTCAGTCGACTCTGAGCAAACCAAGACATTAGCTTGATCAACAGGTTGAAATCAGAACCTAAAATATTTAGAAGGGAAAGGGGGTAACACCGGACCTTACTTTGACTGCTGTATGTTTGGAAAACAAGACCACACGAATAATACCAACACATCACAAGGCACCAGACATAGTGGAGGGGAACCACTTCGTGCATCACGAAAGGAACGCTTCTGCACCAGCAGCCCCACCACACAGCTGATCAGGGGTGGAGTGGGTGAGTTTCACCAGTGGAATTAAGGAGCAATGTTAGGAAAGTCAGACTGTACAAGTTCCAGTGTAGCAAGTCTGTGTAACAGGGCTCAGCACGCTGGAGGCCTGGAGTTATCCACTGTCCAGGGAGTGCTCAGAGCCCGCGAGTAACCAGGATCGCACCCCAGCAGGGGCAGGGAAAGCTGCACTTGTCACTTCTCACACTGTAAGTACTGTCCTCAACAGGAAAGAGCAAGAGAACACTTAATAACATCAAGAGGACTGCTGTCCAGACGGAACCCTGTTCTACCACCGATCTCAGGAGCCCGCACAAGCAGGAACGCATGGACCATAATTCATAAAGGCCATCACTTGGAAGTCTGATTAATATCCTGCCTTGCTACTCATTTTATCCTTGCAGAAATCAGACAGCATGCAGAGAGGGAACGACGCTTATCTTGGCATAATTGGATTTGCAGTAGACCTACATGAGAACCACATTTTCCATGCTCACACCTCAGCTAAACCTGTCCGTCCCAAGAGCCATTCGCAAGGCCACACAAAAACAGTAACCGTTCGCGGAAGAGAAGGACTGGATGTTTTATAATGCTGAAAACAGCTGCCGCAGGCAGGCCTCTCTGAATGAGATAGGCCTGGGAAAATTAACAAACGAACGCTTTGAGCAGCCCAAACCACGTGACAGCCAGGCTTGATGACAGATGTGCAGGGACAGTATCAAAACGAGTCAGGCACCTCGGCGGGCAGCTGTACGGCCAGCCAGGGGTCCTCTAACATGTCTGCGGGAGTGTGGCTGGAGCGAGCCGAGCGGAGGAGGCACAGAAACGGGAGCCGACAGCTGGAGGCGGGCACGAGGGGACCCGTGGGCCGCTTGGACCTGCAGCCGTCTACGAGCCTCGTCCTTGTGCACATTACACACGCTGCTTACTTCTGTTCCCGGGGAGGGAACGAGTGAATGAGGAGCTGGGTGCAATGGGAATGAGTGGCTAATCAGTCTGAGAAAAATACTTGATTTACAGGGGAATTTGGAATTTACAGCAAGCAAAAGTTCTGAGCTGGAACACAGGGGGCTTGATAAACAAAAACACCCAGGTAAGAGCAGCTGAGAACTGTCCTAGCCTGGCAGGCTGCAAACTGGGGGAAGTAAGGAGTCCTTTCACAAACAGCTCAGCTGGGGGAAGCTGGATTTAATTGGTTTAATTAGTCGCTGCGCGGGATTGAGATACTGTACAGTACATGCCGAGCTGCGACAATCCTGTGGTTAGGATGAGTGTGAATTGAGAGTGGGAGGTAAGAGTTGCACAGTTTATTTTTTGTTGTTGTTTCCATTGGGGATTCATTGTGCCACCTCCTTCTCTTTGTTCTGCAGCTGAAAGAAGGGCAGCTTCATCCCCGCCAGAGCAATGAAATCAACTCGGAGAAACAGGGACTTTTCCGCAACTGCAGAGTAAACCCCAGATATTTTATCCTCCCTGCTCACCAACAATGTGAAGACAACCGACAATTGTTTAGTTAGTACCTTGTTGCACTTGGACACTACAGAGCACTCAGGCTTTCTGTATTCAGTGTTATCGCAGTTCACATTCACATCAACAAAGCAAAACATTTCATAGCTCAGAGAACTGAGAAAACACTCCAAACTTCGAATGATCTGACCAACCATATTCGCCCACCCCTATCAAAGCCCTGTCCTTAACGTGCTTACTCTGCTATTTGCTAGGATATGCAATCAATGAGGCTACACTGGAAGATTGAGGGATTTGTTATAATTTCTGTCTCAGAAAACATAAAAAATGACTCTCAGAAGAGATTCAGTGAATTGTTCGGTCCCTGAAAAAACCTGTACGTTGAAAAGAACCAGCATGTTACATCTCAAAGACACTCTTGGTGCTCCAAAAGTCCAATGACAGCAATTCTGTTTTTTAGCTCTTTGGCAGCAAACTGAACTTGAATTAATCCAGATGTCAGAGGTAAACTTTCCACAGTGCCATACTGCGCAAAGTTTAATCTGATGTCATTCTTGCATTTGATGGAAGACTTACAGGATTTTTACATGAACAGATTGAATCCTTCTATCGAGTGTTTATCCAAAAGAAGATTACATGAAATCTGTCATGCAGCAAGCAGTGCTGGGTGGTTTAAAAAACTGTTGCATTACGTTTCCTGCCTTAGAAAGGGAAAAAAATGTTTTGTGAGGATTGTAGAATGTGGAATGAAGTTAAAATCCTGAAAGTGATGTAGAGGTGGCGTTGGTTGTTAGAGTAGAAGATTTAATTCATGTGTATACAGCACATTCTTCTAAAGCCATGAGGTGGTGGATTAAAACTTAATGGAGACAAATAATATAGCCTGATTAATAATGCTACATTTTTTTTTCAGGAGAAATAATGTGCATGTGAAAATAAGCAGGGCACTGTAATGTCAAGTCCATCATGGTTGAATCAATCAATTCAATCATTTGTGTCGAATCATACTTAAAAGGAAACAGATAAACAGCTGCACCAGCAGATCATTCAGTTACAGAAATACAGTCCCTATGACTTGCTATAAGAACAGCTAAACTTCCTCACCTGCAATGCAAGAGGCTTCCATCGCATGTTCTTTAGTAAAGCCGGGGCAGATGTTAGCATGCTTTGAGGTCGCTTTTTCAATGTCAAGATCACACCACTGGGATCTTCACGCAGCGCGTTTACCAAGTTTTTCAACTGCCACCCCACCTAGTGACCAACAAATACATAAATCAAACAAACACAGTGAACGGCACGCATCAGACAGTGTCCCGCCCGCCCCCACTGGGCCATACCGGACCCGCTGGCCGCCCACACAGCTGGCTGCTCCTGCCCCCCCACCCCGTGGAACCCGGAGCCGGTCCTGAGCCAGCGTTCGAGCCCAAAAGAGACAGGCTTGCGATCGAGCGGCCCTGCTCCTTTCTCACTGCTTTGTGCATTTGCAATTGATTACATAGAACATCCAGTACATTTCTATTCCTATGAGGAGGGAGCAATTTATTGATTTTCCATTTTTTTTTAGCCTGTAGTGTTCAAAACACAAACTGTCGCATCTTTATTCTGCTCATGCAATTGCCAGGCAATTGTATTTATAGCGTGCACTGAAGTGGGAAACAATTGAAAATGGTTTACAAACAGCACACATACAGTAGCTACTTCATACAAGTACACCTGCTGAGCACATGCAGAGGGGCTTTAAAAACATAACAAATGCTATTGGCTCCGACAATCATTTGGTGCATTTTTAAAACCCCTTAATACAGCTCTTTGTGCATTTACATCTTCCACAACCTGAAACTGTGCATCAGGATATGCAGTGTACAGCAAAGCAGTATTAAGTAAAGAACGTGTAACCCCAAAACTCTTTGTGCTCAGTTTATTCTGCTGCCAGCAACTTAAAATGTTTATTTGGATAATTTTCCCCTCATATACGACAAATGAGTGAACATACCTGGACCTTTGCACTGATAGTTTCATTATAAGCTGTTTAACTGCAATTATTATCCATGCTGCTATTAATCACTCAGGGAATTTTAGCAAAGAAGGATATAAGCATTATTGTGCTGACTTAACGGGTATTCTTTTGAAGATTAGAGAGTAAGCAAGAAAGATACTGAAACAGAACACTTCTGTGCTCGGATGAAATGGATCAAACAAAGGATACTCTAAATGTCACAAGACGACAGCAGTTCATTAACATCACGGCAATATTCTTTGAGGACTTCAATTTTAAATTAATTATCTTGGAAATAAATATTAGTGGTTAGTGCTCAAATTTGAAAGTATGAACCTTTTTATCTGTATTTGTTCAGTACATGGAGCTCAGACACAAAGCAATTGCATTGTCACAGTTTGTTTTAAATAAAGACTCTATCTATTATGCTGTCTGTAGTACTACCTCTACTACTACTACTAATAATATTTTTTTGCATTTACATCATATAGCGCTTTTTATTCAAAAGCCATACTGGTCAAGCCCACAGTGGAATCTGGGATTTTGGTTAACACCTGTCTTTTCTTGACAACACTATACATTAATCCTTTCATCTGAAGGGCAGGACCTTCTACAGCACAGTGACCCCAGGCAACATATTGAGGCCTGGAAATGGTAGTTCAGAAAGAAAAGCGCCACTATGGTCCTTACTGCAGTAACCTGGAGCTCTCCCGTGCCAGTACTAACCAGGACCAGCCTTGCTTAGTGTCTGAGATCTGATGGGATCAGGCAGCAATTCATAATGTGCAGAGGTCTTCAAAAAGGCTTCTCAAACACAGGGATTGTCTCCAGGACAATTGGGGACAAACATATTGTGAAAAACATATCTGCTGTTAGTTAGGTACTCTTATCTGACTGCTTATTGAAGTCTTTCACTTATGCAAAAAGCCAACTATTTCAGAAAATAGTCCTATTACATAAACATTCATCTACTGTACCAAACACAGTAGATACAAATACACGATTTACTCCCTGGAGCATCTACTGTACGTCATATCAAAAGCAAACAGAAAACGGCCACTAAACAATAGCTGTAGCCACTGTGGTTTGCCTGGGCCCGTGCAGCTCTCTGCCTTGGCGGCGACTGCGTCTCCTTCTCCTGCTCTCCCTCAACTCCGGCTCCAGCACATCGATCCTGCTCGGCTGCTGCACAGTCATTCCGTACGCTTGACGGAGCAACAGGGTCATCGGCAGCCCGAGCAAAGATTCAGTCTGTGGTGCTGCGCTCTTGAACAGGAAGGCAGGGCAGTTTTTTGTACAGTAACTCCCCCAAAACTGGAAACCGTCCCCGTTGAACCCAATTTAACCCCTTCCGGGCCTGGTTTTGAAAAATCTTTCTGTGATGGTTTAATCAGATCCTAATAGCCATCGTGGGTCTCACATCCACACAGAGGCTGTCTGATCCAGTGCACCTACAGTACAACAGAGCATGCACAGAAAACCACCTTCCTCTGGCACAAGCCGTCTTCTTCGACACAGAGCCTAAAATTGTTTGCAGGGCATTAGGGTGGTATTTTCTTAATCGGTGGGTAATTTGTTCACTGTGAGTGAGTTCTGTTTGCTCCTCAAAGCCATTTCAGACAGCAAGGGGAGCTACAGAATATTGCAAAGGCAATGCACTGACAAGCCCTTTAGCACCCTTCCTCTTTTTGCTTAATTACGGTAACGAAGAAAGAAAGAATCTGTCCACATCTGCAATTAATCTCTCCTACTCTCTTCAGAAGTACCAGAAAGCCACCACCAACAATTAGACCTGATTAGAGGTTTAGAGTGAACACACAAACAAACAGAACACTCCTTCAATACTTATTGCCTGTTTAATGCAAACCCTTAACCTCAAGTAATAAGACTCACACATCTACTGTGGATACAACAAGTGACTCCACAGGGGAAGCATCCCATGTCTGGGCACATGTTTTGTAACCATTGCATGTCTCTTGATCTTTTTCCGCGTGGTTGAAAACAGGAAACGGGAGTCTGAAACAAGTCACCTGACAATGCTGTCCGAGCCAGAAATCTGACTTCTTTCAGGACACGGATGGAGATCCTTAAATAATGTGCTCTTGCCTGTCAGCATTCTAATGCTCTAGGACATCTTTCTCCTAGTCTTTGTGAGGAAATAATTCAGGCAGCAAAGGTTTGAAAAGGTGCAAACATCTACAAAATCAAAAAGAAGATGGATTTTAGACTAAGCTGAGACATGCAATAATATTTGGCCAAAGCTCCAATGGGCAGATGCCAGACATCCTTTGTGGATTTCACTACTTTGGAAAGGTTTCCATTTTGAATGGAGCATTCATCCCTAAAAGCTCAAGCATTAAAATTTCAAAAGGGATTCAGGCAGAAGATAAAAATTAACTTTAAAAGGTTTAGATGTTCAACATTTGCCCTCTAGAAATAAGCGGTGCACGCCAGTTACATTCAATACACATGACTTTTCCTTATCTTACGACACATCTTATGGCATGCGCATGAATCAAAGGACAAGGCATTTAATAAGAAGAGCCCTTCCTCCTGGCCTCACTCTCATCCTTAAATGTCAGAGTACACATTCTGCTCTTTTCAGAGTTGCATATTGCATTATGTCACCTTCTCTTAACTAAAACTTCATATTCCACTTGCTACGCTGACATTGTGACATACCCGAGTACAGTACAGTATAAATACATTTACTGTATATTGCATCTTATTCAAGCCCACCATTAATTAGCACCATGCTAGATTTTATGCTTCACTATATGAAGAAACACAGTGAATGTAAGATTCACCGGTGGGAGAATTCTCACTGGCTGTCTTTCAAGCAGGCTTGTCCAACGCTCTCTTATAGAACACTTAGGAATTCTGAAACATCCATGGATGTTACCATTCAAACAAACACTGCATTCACAGACCCACACTGGACTCTTCTTGTGCAAACCTAAGACCATGCTTACCCTAGGACAGGAAAGGCTCAACTTAGGCATGTCTGCTGAACGAATATCATTTGCATATGGAGCACCAGACCTGGTGACCTTCACAGCACTCCTGCCTATTCGTAAACTTGTGCTTGTGTCTTTTACCACAAACTGGAAGGTTGCACTAAGATGCCGTCTCTCCCGTTTAAAAGTTACATGTAACTCTAGTGTAAGGAGAAAACTTTCCAATGGAGTACAGGAACAGCTCCAGATCCCAGAGATGAAAGTCACCCTTGTGGAAGTGTACCATGGTTGATGCCCATGTAAAAAATACTCAGCTTTTTCCTTGAGTTTCCCATTCTGCTCTCATGCATTGATTTTGTTCTGCCCACAGTATACCTTGGCTTGCATCACACATTAACAGAACCTCTTCATGTTTTCCATGGTCCTGCTGTAATTTCCCTGTACTGTACTACACTGGTCTCTGCTTTAACCACAATCGGCATCTCTATACTGTATGCAACTACACAAGATCACTGGACAGCTCTGAGAGAGGTTTGCAGGGAGAGGCAAAGCACAGTCTTCATTTCCACACAGTAATTTCTCTTACCCAAATAGCAGCTTGCTATATTAAAGTGCCTTTCATATAGAAGAGCTTTCATCTCAGTCACAGCTTTAATTAATCAATTTCTAAATCTGTGAAGCTCAAACCGCTGATGCAAATGAAACCAATTAGGTTCCAATTCTTCTGTTTTTCTTTTCAGAAATGTTTAGGTGCCTCAGGCTCGGCCATATGTGTAACCCTTGAAACATCATGACATGCAGTGTACAGGAATGGCTAAGTATGCATATTTATGCAGTAGGCATGTTATGAAAACAACTGTGTCATGTCATTGTGTCATGAGAGCAATATGACACATGGGAGCTGAAACTGGTAACAAGAAAAAAGTCGGAGATACACACCACAGTCTGATGGTTGACTTGGATGACTTCATCCCCAGCGTGGATCTTCTTGCATCGATCAGCTGGAGACTGAAAAGAGCGAGAAGGAGCTCGAGTTAGAAAGATCCCCAGAGAAAATTTAAGTCACTTCCAATTTTCACCTGCCCTGCTTGCTGCTGCACTGTCTACAGCCTCAAGGGCCAACACGTAGCTCTCCCTGGCAGCCTTTCACACTGCCCTAGTGATGGGCGTACAGTGTAGGTCTGCTCTGCTCCTGCTGGGATTCGATCATGGTCACACAGCCCCACTCT